AGATTCTCTCACAGAACCAGCAGATTTTGAAATATATACAGTTCAACAATGTAGTTTTAAAAGAAATAGCATAGTGATAGTTTCAGAAGAATTTCAAAGACTTCAAATGGTGCTTAGGATTCATTAGGGTTTCTATAAATACTTTTCAGTTGATAAATAAGAATGAATCCAGTCTACGGGGAGAAACTCAGTCACAAATATAGAATGCAAGCATCCCTTTGGGAGTTGTGTGACTGTGTAATTAAATTCCTATTTTATTTATTTATTTATTTATTTATTTGGAAGGTAGAGATACATATAGGAAAACAGAGCTAGACACAAAACTCCCCGATTTGCTAACTCACTTCCCAAATGTCTACAACAGCCAGGACTGGGCCAAGTCAAAGCCAGCAGTCAGGAGTTCAGTCCAGGTCTTCCAAGTGGCTGGGAGGGATCCAAGTACTTGAACCAGCACCTGCTGCCTCCAAGAGTGTGTACCACCGGGAAACCAGAAGTCAACCCCAGCACTTGTAGGTACCCCAAATAGAACTTAACTTTCGTGCCAAATTTATATCCCAAGACCTATGTTTGAAGAGGTAAATATCTCATCATCGTAGCCAGCTTCCTACCAAAGCCCCCAGTTAGAGGTTTATACAAACATCCTTCACACTGCATGCACTCATAGATACTTCTTATGACACTGAATCTAATATTGACATATATTACAATATCTGCAGTTGTCGCAAATTAAGATTAAACTCTTCTACCAAAAGGGCTTACATCCCTGCTCTTCAAAGAGGGACTATACAAGCACCATCTTTATAGAGCTCCGGAAGATAACACGCACGCTCATATGCACACATATAACTGCTTATACTTAGGGAAACAGCTTTCCCTCCCCTCGCCCTGATCCCTGCCAATCCTGCATGATATAGAGTGAGGCTGGACTTGACATGAGACAAGCTGGAGCTTCTGGGAACACTGCCATGATGATCTCAGTCCTCTGAAACTTTCAGCTTTCGGCAGAGAGAAAACACTCTTCCCTGATTATGGTGGCTACTTCTCCGTTCTGCAGCAGCTAGGTGATAAGGGTTCAGGCTGATCTTAAATCGCAGGGACTTCTGGAAAGAACACTTATATCAAGAGAAGCCTGCTTTCTTTTCACAGTCAACAGAACCTTGTACTTGGACATGTTGTTTCCACCTCCACAGCTCTGCTAAAAGTACTCCAATGGGAGCCACCAAGCAGCCCTGTTTGTGAGCTGCACAGATTCTCTCCATGTCTCCTGTTCATCCACACTTCTTAGCCCTCCTGTGACTAAAGCTATGCCCTCTTCCTCCTGAATACCCCGCTAGACAATACTTGGCAGCCATCCTCCACCCCGCCCCAGTTGCATTAGCTACAGCAGTGTGATTGTATTTTAGCAGTAGAAGCCCCATGTGTTTTGGTTTTTGTTTGTTTGTTTTTTACTTTAAAAAATTTTATTTTGATTTTTGAATTTTATGGTACAATTCCATAAAGTCGAGGAGTCCCCCATCACAAATTCCCACCCCCCGATTGATTTTCCCCATATTGTTACAATAGTGTAGTCCTTCATAAGGAGTTATAAAGGCTTGTGAGGTTCTGTCCCACCCAACCCTTTTAACTGCTCCAAGTTATTTTCCTGTGCTGGATACTTGGTATGAGGATCTACTCTCAGGGTAAATCCAAAAACTAAGTGTTAAAATTGTAAGGATGCCATCAACTCTGCATAACAACATGGAGTGCAATGCTGTTTCCACCACCAGCCCTCAACACACATATACACATGGTGGCTGGGCACACAAATGCTAAACTGGACTCACCTGTGAAAAGGCAGCTTCTTGGACTGAGACACAGCACACAGGCTTACTCAATACGCATCCTGTTCTCACAATAATCAGACCTACTTTCCTAAAACATATTTCTTCCGCACACCTGACACCACTATTCCAATCCTTCAGTCTCTTTCTCTTTAAACTGCTCAGCCCTGAAATTAAGGTGTTGTCCCTGGGACTCCCATATTTTCTCAGTTTGTTTTTTGGGAATCTCCTTTCTTACTGCATCTTCACCTACCATCACTTTATTGACGTTCACCAAATAGATAACCAGGTAGGTTTCCAAACTCACCAGCTTTCCCCTAAAAACTTTCTCCTTGTCTGTATTCTTTCTAGTGATTTCCAAAATCTCCCACTTAACTGTTACTTTACCTCCAGCTGTCCAATCTTCATATATATATTCAACCACTAAAATGTATTGGTTGCACTTCACAGATGCCTCACATAACACCCTCACCATCTTGATCTCTTCACCTCAACTTCTACTGCCTTAAATCACACACCATCCCTTGTTCATCTGGGCAACAGCTTCCCAGACATCTCATCACGGCCTGTTTCTCTAGGATGTTCGACGAGCCTTGGTCCAAATAACTGAATCAAAGGATGAATACACACACATGATCACTCACCTCAATACTGAAGATCTTACCTAGTCCTCCACTGACCTTCTAAACAGTAATTCCAGCTCTTATTTAGGAGTACTTCCTTTGCGCCAGCTACTCTGCTCCATGTTTCAATAAAATAATTGTAGAATTTATCTGCTTTATTTCTCTAAACTATTACACAAGAGGAACTGATATTTCTCTTTTATAAATGAAAACCCCCTGAAGTAGTATAATCCCTTTGCTTCCAATCACATAGTTGCGAAGTAGTGGAGCTCAAACTCAAATACAGTTCATTCTGACCTTGAATCCTCTGGGCCTAACCACTGAACAAAACCATCTGCAATTCGTGAGAAACTTGCTGGTGTGACACATGAGGCTCTTTAGGATGCAGTCGCAACCATCTTCATGCTCATTTCTACTTCTGACATTCTGGGACTCAGCCCCCTCTGGATTCCTGTGGCTGTTTCTCACATGCTTTGCCCTCTCAACAACTGAGTAAACCACTCGCCCAGTATGGAGCTCAGCCTGACACAGGTTTTCAAGCTATTTTAGTTCCCTGCTGCATTGCTTCTGTATGAAGCCTGATTCTGCTACCTGTAATTCCTTTCCCCTTTTCTATGCTTAGCAGGTTTTGAAGCATTTTCCAAACATTGTTTCGAATATTTTTCTCCTGTCATGTCAAGCTGTGGGAAGAGGTAGAGCTCTGGTTCTGTAACATGCCCAGTCCCTCCATGTGGTCTTCATCTTCTCATAGTATAAAGAATCTATTTAAAAGTCTATCTGCTATTATTCATCTGCTATTAACTCAGGGGGCTGGAGAATGTTGAATTCATCTTTTGTCTATAGCTCCTTACATACCAAATAAGTCCTCAGATGCTAGTTGTTAAATGGATAGTGTATGAAAGTGTATTACATAAGCATTTTTCATAAGTACTCTCACTTTGAAATTCTCTCTCCTGCAGTCTAATTTTAGTCTTTCCTATTATCCTACATAACTGAAAATGGAATGAAGAAAATGCTAAGAATCACTAAAGACACTGAACGCCAGTGTTGAGCTATGCTGATCAATATAGCAACCACAAGAAACATGGTGCCATTTAGCACTTAAAATATGACTGAAGTGACCTGGATGCTATAAATTCAAACTGCACACAGCTTTTCATGGACTCAATGTTTAAAGAGACATAAAATATTCCATCAATAATTTTATATGTATAACATAATGAAGTATTTTTGATGTATTGAGTTATAAGAAATATACTTTCAAACTTGATTTTCTTCACTTATATTTGCTTTTCCAATGTGACATTTGGAAAATTTTTGAAATATACATGTGGCCTGCATTATATTTCAATTTGACAGTTTAGTGTTTCTAATTTAATGAGTATAATTAATGTGTTTTATGTGGTAAAATATCAACCAAAGAACCAGAAAACTTGTTTTTCTTTCTTTTCTCCAAAGTCACATGGCTAAAACAAGAAGAAAGGAAGGGAGGGAGGGGAAGAGGAAGGAAGAAAGAATGGAAGGGGAAAGGAAGCTTGTTGTTTACATTTTAATAGCACACAGTTCATCCAGTCCACAGAGCTTCCATGACTACACATTTGGGAGATAAAAATTCAATTTCCCCTTAACACAACTATTATTCTCTGTTATGTAAGCAACAATTAAACTGACAATTAAACATGAAAAAGGTGTTGTGTCTCAACTTCGCTACAGGTGGTGAAACTATTCAATGAAATTAGCACACTAGAATTTTTTTATGAAGAAATTATCCAACAGAACTCACAGTGGGAAGGGACCTTATATCTTATGAATCTTGTAATCTTCCTCATGCTTATTGGAGGCCACCCAAAACTCTTAGCAGGGAAGAAAAAGAAAAAAGCAAACAAGATAAAGCAAAGGCCCCAAACAGAGAAAAGGGAGGTAAGTGCGGAGAGACATAATGGAAAAATGAAAAAGTTCAGAGTGCATGTGCTCAGTTTATAATTGAAATGTATTTTTATTGAGAGAGAGAGAGAGACATTCCCACTTCCTTTGGTCCTATGATTCCCAGAGATATAATCTAATTTTTAGCCAATTATTGCATTTTATTCTGATAATTTCAACAAATCGGTGAAATCAAGCTTCAGGAATTATTATCTGCTAAGTTTAATAATCCAATTGTAATAGTATCAGAGGTTTTATTGTGCTACTTAGTAAAGATTTCCTACAAAACTTACTATAGTTATAGTAATGTATGATGTGAAAAATATTGCTCAGAAAATTCAGAAATTTAAACTTTCACCAACCTGACTTTTCTCCCTCAACTCAAAATCAGATCATTGAAATGATCAGTCCTACTCAATCCTCAAATTTTGTTGCAAAATGAATTATTTCAGGTTTATGTGTTAAGGCAAAATGTGGCCAATGCGTTACTGTAATTCAAAGTCACAGTATTCACACCCATTTACAATGTAATTGAAGAATTATCTAATATTTGCTTCATGTTATAGAGTTGCTTATAAATAATAACCTTCTGAAATCACTTTTGCAGAATCAAAGGATGAAAATATTTTCTTACCATTCCTCAGCTGTTCAACCTCACAGAAGTGTGTTCCACTAGGAGTATGAATAAATGCATGGACATGTTTGACTCCATTCTGAAAATTAGGATAAACTGGTGTTCAATTAAATTTCAGCATATGCCATAGACCCAATGTCTTTAATTAAACTTGGAACATAAATCAGGGAGATAACCTTTTCGAAACGCTTCCAGGGAACTTCCTCCACGTAGACATGAGCTCGGAGGACGTGATTAAAAGAAGAAAGGAAATGCTCACAGATATTCATAGCAAAGGCTTCTACGCTTTTGATCTGTAAAAGAAACAAACTGCCAGCAGACAGAAACATTTGCTGCATCTAAAAATAATCTTTATCCAAGGAGCTCACTTACTTTCTTGATCAATTCCTTTTTAGGAGAGAAGCACAAAATTGGAAAGAATCTCAAGAGATGCATTGGTCCTTACTCGACTTTTTCACTAGAGCTCCCAAGTGTGGTTAATAGATCACCATTGCCAGGACAGATTCTTTCTCTCTCTCTCTCTCTCTCTCTCTCTCTCTGTGTGTGTGTGTGTGTGTTTTAAAAGATTTATTTATTTTTATTTGAAAGGTACATTTTACAGAGAGAAAAGGAGAGAAAGAGAGAGAGAATTTCAAACCCACTGTTGTACTCTCCAAGCAACTGCAATGCCTGGAGCTGAACTGATCCAAAATTGGGAGCCAGGTACTTCTTCTGGGTCTCCCTCTTAGGTACATTGGCAAAACAACATGAGCCATTATCTGCTGCTTTCCCAGACACATTAGCAGGAAGTTAGATCAGAAGTGGAGCAGCCAGGACACAAACTAGAGCACATATGGAAAGGACTACCTATGGAGGATTAGCCTGTTATACCACTGCGCCAGCCCTGACTTTCCTTGTTTTCTCCATGGCTGAGTAAAACATGACATAACGTTCAAATTCTTCTTCATTATGAACTCAATTTCACCTACGCAAGTCACAGTCCTTTCCATAACACTGTCAATCCCTTCTGGACATTTCACAGTGGGCCTCCGTGTACCCTGAGAAAAAACGGTATTGAAGGAACTCCCATAGTCCTTGCCTTGCCTATAGCCCTTCTATTGATCATCACCAGCTCTCTTCCTCTTAGGCAGTTCTGACTTCCACTTTACTCTTCATACTAACTCACAGGCAATATTTGGTCCTAGCACAGTTTATGACTTGATAGTGGCATTGCCAGTAATTAAGATCAACTGTGCAGGCATCCCCAATCTGGTTCAATTTTACACCTGTTATCCCAGAATAATTCCTTTTTAAAAGACTTACTTATTCCTTTGAAAGACAGAAATTACAGAGCAAGGAGCAGACAGGGAGATCTTTCATCTACTGGTTCATTATCCAGATGGCTGCAGTGCCCAAGTCTGGGCCAGGACTAAGCCAAGAGCCAGCAGTTTCATCTCTAGGTTTCCCACATGAGTATCAGGGGCCCAAAGACTTAAGCCAACTTCAATTGCTTCCCACCAAGCCATTAGCAGAGAGCTGGATCAGAAGTGGATTTGCAGGGACATGAACCAGTGCTCAAATGGGAAGCTAGCTTTGTAGGCAATAGTTTCACCCTCCATGCCACAGTACCAGCTACATCAGAATAATTACCAACAGCATCCTATTTCACTCTCCAAAATGACCTGTCTTCTATAAGAAAGTACATGATTGTTCCATCTTACTGAATGAATTTAAACTATTTTCAGCATCTAGATTCATTCCATCACTTGCCTTCAATTCCTCACACAACAATACGTGGAAGGACTGTGCTGCCTGGTCTCCTCTCTCCTAAGACAAGCCTATATTCAAACGACTCGTTTCAAAGAACAATTTTTTTCTCTTCACACTGTTTGCCAAGCTGCTCTGATCAGGGAGAGCAAAGCCTGAGTAGAGACAGGCTTTACAGAATTGTGTCGGTTCTTTTATTTGTTATACTATGGATGTATGTAAGACCATAACAAAAGCAGCTGTTTCAGTGTACATTTCTTGTGTTTTTATACTTCTTGGTAAAATAAAAAAGTTATAAATTACCCAGAGGCCTGCGGTGAACCAAAACATCTTCACTCACACCCCAAAGCAACTGGATGTGAAATTGCTAAAATATCAGTTTCTATCCAATCGCAGTCTCTCTTGAAAAACACAATTAATTAACACACATGAAGAGTAAGTGGTAGTTAAGTGGGAAAACTTAGAAGATATTAAAATTTGCACAGATTTTGATAGCTTTTTAATGTGTTTTATAATCAAGCTTTTCTTCTGCAGTAATACCAGAAAGAGTAAGGGCATTTTCTTCTGTAAATGCATCTAACTCTACAAGCCAAAATAAGTTACAGGGGAGAATAAAATGCCTGAGGAAAAATGTGTTAGATTCTGAAATCAGGGGCATCAGTAGTCTGTAAGCCTAAAAACGGGTACTATGCTAATGTGTCACATAAGATCCTCTGCCTAAAAGATTATAGCTGTAAGGGCTCAGTCCAAGCATAGAATGCTAATTACTAGAGGCTTGGAGATGAGAGAAATAATGGTAGTTTGGATTTTTAAAAATAGAGGTATCCCATTAATTGTGAAAAATAGATGAATATGAGCTGTTAATAAAAGAGGTGGGTGAAGGGTATATGGAGACTTTTGTTAGTGTTTTTTAATTTTTGCCTTGTAAATTAAAACTGCCATGTAATAAATATTTTAAAAGATAAAAAGAAAAGATTGCAAAGAAGGTCAAGAAGTGAAAACAAAAGTGGAAGAAATATTTCTTAAAAAAAAAAAAAAACTCGTGTGGTTGTATAGCAAGCCAATCCTCTGCCTGTGGTGCTGGTATCTCATGTAGGCTCCTGTTTAAGTCTCTGCTACACCATTTTGGATCCAGCTCCCTGCTTATGACCTGGGAAATGAGTGGAGAATGACTCAAGTTCTTAGGACCTTGCACTACATGGGAGACCCAGAAGAAGCTTTTGGCTCCTAGCTTCGGATTGGCCCAATTTTAACCATAGCAGCCATTTAGGAGTGAACCAGCAGACAGAAGATTCTTCTCACTCTGCCTCTCCTCTCTCTAATGCTTTCAAGTAAAACCAATAAATCTTAACAACTAAGGGAGGAAATTGTAGAGAGGGCAAGCTTTTCAGCAAGTCTGGGGTTTTAGTAAAAAGAAAATGTTTAAGTGATTTAAATGTTAAATACACTAAAGGACAAGAGAATATGAAGGCTTACATCCCAAATCCATATGGGTATCCAGAAAACTCTATACCAAGATAGACAGGGTCCAAGGAGACCAACACATACCCCTTTGAACTTGGCCAAGACATGAACGGTGTTCTTCATAGTGTCTGTAGGGATGATGTCTGAATTGTCTCCATACATATAATCTTTTTTTGAACTTAGAGTAAGCTGCACTGAAGTTGCCACCTCTTTGATACTGTGATATTTTCCATCGCGTCGAATATGGAGTACTTTTACCATATCCTTTCCATAGCCCGTGCGGACAAACTCCACCTCCTCATTCTGCAATGACACCACAATTATCTTTTAGAAGAAGATTAAATGAAAGCAAAATGTCAACTGCTGAAGTTTTAGCTTACTATGTCATTACAAAAGGTGAGAATCAGAGTATTTATAAATCAATCCCCCATTCCACCTTTGAGGAAATGTGGGAGCTTGTTTAGCAACAAAGCAAACCCCAAAGAGCAAGTGAAAATGGGTCCAAATGCTGTGATAGGCTGAGACCTGTGTGATAATTATAACAAATAATAAAACCTCTTGAGTCAAAGCTGAACCACTTTTCTGTAGTTTAAATTTTTTAATTTATTTTTACAATATTATTTATATGATTGGGGTACAAAGGATCAAGGGCTACAGGAAAGTGGGTAAGACCATTGTTTCCACACTAATATCATAATTTTTCCCCAGTATCTGGGGTTAGGGGAGAATCGAAGGGAGAAGTCCCACCCAGCCTCCCACTTATCTCAGATCCGCAATGTGCATCATGCTCTGAGGGTCCTGCTCAAGCAGTTTTGATAGTTCAACAGTTGTAAATTGCTGCCAATCTCGCCATTCCAATCATGATGAAATCTCTTCAGAATCCACTGGCTGACATAATCTCTTCAAGGTTGGGGTTCTGAGATCAGCAGTTCAGATAGAGGGATCTCCAAATACACTTCGTCTGAGGTGATCCCACCTGATTCTTGTGTGTGCTTACCAGTACAGGGTCCGGCACCGTCCATCATCCCAGTCAGCTTATGCACATGCTGGTCATTGTAACTGCTGAGTCAGTTCTGTTTCCAACCCTGTCTTCCACACAAACCAATGGGTGTTGTAATCCAGCTCGATCCTACCCACTTCATACTCGGTCTTCATGCAAGCCAGTGGGAGCTGCAGCCTAGTTGGGGCTACTCCCCATAAACCCCATAAACCAGGCCTGCCTCTACCCTGGTTCCCATGCATGCCAGTATGTACTGCAGACTTGTTCAGTCTGTACCACATCCCATTTAGCTCACATAGATATGTCAGTGGGCATTGAATCCTAGTTAAACCAAACCAACCCTATTATCCAGCCCACACATATACTGGAGGGTGCCTTTCTGTCTTGCCACCCCTGCCCCTGTCCTTGTCTTAGTGCTCTCCAGTGGGAGTGGTAACCCAAGAGGGTGATTCCCAGTATTTCCCTACTAGGCCACTCCCACTCCTGGATTATGCACTGTCCAGGTGGTTCTGTGGTTTAACTTGACAGATTTCGCCCCCTAGTGCCAGCTTCTGCCAGCTGATGCTGTGGCAAACCCCAACCAACCCTCACCCACTCTAATTTTTGCTTGCACCACTCAGAACAATCAGGCTTTTCCCTGATCTAGCTCACATGAGGCCCACAGGTATTGTAGCCCTGGCTGGACTGGTCTGCCTCCATCCCAACTCATGCTCTCCAGTGAGAACAGCTGTCCAGCAGGGGAGCCCACATTCCCCCTGTGGTTTTGCCACCCCCCTTCCTGGTTCTCACATATGCTATTTGGGCACTGCGGCCACATCTGGTACGGCTCACCTCACCTCGGCAATCCATAATATGTTTGTGTTGCAACTGAACCTAGCCCGACCCACACTCTATTCTGGTGCTCAGTTTCGCTAGTAGGTGATGTGAACTGGTTCATCCTGGTCTGCCCCAGACTTATGCCAAATGTATGCCAGTGGGTATCTTTCTCTGGTCTGGCCTGGATTGCTCCTTATCATGGTTCTTGTGCTCACTTGCAGGGACTGTGTCCTGACAGAGGAGTTTCCCAAACTCCTCCATCAGAACCTCTCCAATTTCCAGATCTTGTGTGTACTTGTGGGTTCATAGGCCAACCATCCTTGCTGGCCTTCAATCCATCTTATTGTTGGATGTTTCAGCCCAGGCAAGGCTTGTCCATACCCAGACACTGCTCACACATGGCTCAGTAGGGGCAGAGACCTAGCCTAGTCTATCCTACATCTGCCCAGGTTATGTAGAGCACCAGATGGTGCTGGCATCTAGCCTGGTAAGGTGCGCCAAGCCCCAGTCCACACTTGTGCCAAGGGAAATTGTAGCCATATCCAGAGCAGAACACAGCCCTGACTCTGGACCCTGCACTCTCCCGTAGGAACCCCAACCCAGCAAAGGTGTTCTAGCACAGCTGCCCAACCGAGTCTATTCCCATACCTAGATTATGAGCATGCCAGTAGTTGCTCTGACCCAGTTGGTTTAGCCCCTTACCTGTCTCAGCCTTTGCCTTTGATGCTGTGACCGAGTATCCCAGGCTCATAAAGACCAGTTGGTATAAGAGCCTAGCTCCACATGACCTGTGTTCCAGCCTGATTTCTGTTCTTCCTCGTGAGTTGAGGTTTGCTTGGCCCTGCCTAGTTACTCCCGGTTGCAGCCTGGCGCACCCCACAACATATTTTAGGATGCACTTTTGGGTGCTGCTGCCTTGATCTGCCCAGACTGTTGTCAGTTCCTTTACCCGTGAGTGATGGCAGGTTCCATGTTCACACCTAGCTCAGCCCATCACCACCACAGCTCATGAGCTAACCTGTGGGACTTGTATTTCCACTGGATTGGGCTCACACTTGCCCCAGAGAATCTAGCCCCTGGACCTGGTTCTCTTGCATGCTGGTTAGTGTCTTAACCCTGCCAAGTATGACCAGTCCTTTATTCCACCACCCAGTCAGGTACTAGTACCTAGCTCTGCCAGACAGGCCCCCAACCCATAGCTTTGGTGTAGACTGGTGATGCTCTATGCTAACAGCCCATCTCAGGATTCCCATGTGGGCTGATGAATCAGTCTAACCCAAATAGATCTATGGACTCTCCCCTCCAAACCACTATGTCTCAGCCACCACGCTTGCCAGAAAGTTCTGGGACCCTTGCTGGAAATCACCCAGAATTCATCCCTCACCTGCACTCACACTGGTCTTTTCTATGATGTCCCTAGGCAGCAATTACATATCCTAAAAATTCCAAAGCTCAGCCATAGGTAGTCAGCAGGCAGAGCCTAGCACCACATGGTGAGCTGGCCACTCAAAGCCTAGGACTTGGTCAACTGCCTTTCAGCAGTGTCTTTGGCTTGAGCCTTCAACATTGGGTCTGGCCTGGCTGGGGCACCCCCCACAGCCACCACATTGCAGGGAGCTACTTTCACCACAACTCCAGGGCCCAAGCCTGATCTATTTTTATGTAAACCTTGCTAATCTAATCCTTGTAACATCTCTGTGGAGCTCATCATGCCACTGTACAAACAGAGATTGAGTTCCAAAGCCATGAAGTGGCGTTCCCTAGTTCACACAGCTAGGATTTACTCTCACATTGGTTGCCTCCTCATTGTAGAGTCCTTGTGATATAAACTGCCTTTCTTCTAGAACATCTTGAGTAGGTGGGTGGGAAGTAATGATATACCATTTGGACAGAGAATGGCATTCTGGAGAGAAAGCTCTGAGACTAACAGAAACCATTTGAACACTGCCTTTTCCACCCGCTGCCAGGAAGAAGAACCATTGATGACAGAGTCCAGATTACCTTCATGCATGCAGAGCTGTGGCCATCTGACTGCAGGCAGAGCTGTGCCATTAGCACAGGGACACTTCATAAAAGCTGGGGCTTGACTCATTAGTACCCTTGTCTGACACTGGAATTTAGCAAACAGGTGTAGAAGCCTCAAGGTGTAAAAGCCACTAGATGGGTCCCTGGGCTTGACTGCTGTTTGAAAGAAGAGGCAGGAGGCAGCACAGCGACAGAAGAACTGATTTGATTTAGAATGTAAATTGAATATGAAAATGCTAAAGAAAGAAGGTGACAAGCATAAAAGTAAATATAAAACAACATATAGTGAGAGTCTGGGTAGGGAGCCGGAGAAGGAAATTTACCTGCAGACAGCTCTCAGGATGGGCACTAAACACTCAAGTGTGTAAAAAGTCACCAAATCCTCTGAAAATTAAAATGCCAGCCCAAATCAGAAACAACTGCTGTGATCTTAAAGTGGGAGATGGGAGGTTACTTCAAATCTTAGGGCTGGAGCTGGGTAGAGCAGATGTTTTCTGTCATTTAACACTTCCTGGGGACTTGAGGTGTCTGAATTAGGTTCTTTCTGCTTGGGAGGTGAAACCTCTGAGACCAACTTGGGAGACTCATCTTGAAGAAAACGGTCAAGAAAGAAATCAGAAGATCAGACCGAAGGCAATCCTAATTAGAACTGTAACACTCATGGGAAGCAGAGCCTGCAGTGTAGCTGCAACAGCTGTGGAGTGAGACCCAGTCCAGCTTCAGTTTCTCCATTAGTCTAAGTGGCAATAACACCTCTACTGCATAGGACTGTTTACATATATATGTGGCCTGGGTTGGTTTCAGTTAGTCAAAGATGCAGCAACGTCAATGCCAGCAATAGTAACCAGGATCAGTGTGGTGTTGGAAGGCACAGCAACAGAGGGCTATAAAAAAAGGGTCCTAATTTTAGGACAGAGAACCCTGCTGGTGGGAGAAAGAGAAAGATAACAGCACATCAGAATCCACAGAGAGGGAGAGGGAAAGAGGCTGGGATCCAGGACCAAATGTCTCTGAAAGCATCCATTATCCCCAGCACACTGTCAGGCTCAACAAATATGACTGCTCAGTCCCAGTCTATGCCACTCAGTGTCCCAGCTGCAGCAGTTCAGTCTGAGAAAGCGGATGACACCTCGTGCTGCGAAGAAAGCTTAGACAATAACCATCCTTCCTGTCCTCTGCCTGCCTCTTTTCAAACTCTGCTTCAGCCATTCTGAGCTAAGCCAAGGCTCCAGACGCTATCTGCCTGAAGGCCTTTGACTTCCTTATTTCTTCTATTCCAAACACTTTCCCCCTGGTTTCCCAACCACCAACCTTTTTCCTAGCATAACTTCTCACCCTCTTTCAGATTCCACAACCTCACTTCCCCAGAAAATATCAATAGGGATCCCTTTCCCCTACTCTCAAAATGCTTGAGACAGAATCATTATCAAATTGCATTGCAATCACCTCTTTATGTGGCTGA